TCCTCCTGAGTCCTCCTCCTGGGTCCTCCTCCTGGGTCCTCCTCCTCCTCTTCATCCTCCTCCTCTTCCTCCTCAGTCCTCAGTCCTCCTCCTCATCCTTCTCCTCAGTCCTCCATCCTCCTCCAGTCCCCCTCCTCCTCCTCCTATTCAGTCCTCCTCCTCCTCCTCCTTCTCAGTCCTCCTCAGTCCTCCTCCTCCTCCTCCTCCTCTTCCCTCTCAGTCATCCTCCTCAGCCATCCTCCTCAGTCCTCCTCAGTCCTCCTCCTCAGTCCTCCTCCTCCTCCTGGGTCCTCCTCCTCCTCTTCATCCTCCTCCTCTTCCTCCTCGGTCCTCAGTCCTCCTCCTCCTGGGTCCTCCTCCTCATCCTTCTCATCAGTCCTCCTCCTCCCCAGTCCTCTCCCAGTCCCCCTCCTTCTCCTCCTCCTATTCAGTCCTCCTCCTCCTCCTCCTCAGTTCTCCTCAGTCCTCCTTCTCATTTCTCCTAAGTCTTCCTCCTGAGTCTTCCTCCTGAGTCCTCCTCCTCTTCCTCCCTGTCCTCCTCCTCCTCCCTCTCAGTCATCCTCCTCAGTCATCCTCCTCAGCCATCCTCCCCAGCCATCCTCCTCAGCCATCCTCCTCAGTACTCATCAGTCCTCCTCCTTCTCAGTCATCGTCAGTCCTCCTCCTCAGTCCTCCTCCTCCTCCTGGGTCCTCCTCCTCCTCCTCCTCCTGGGTCCTCCTGGGTCTTCCTGATCCTCCCCAGTCCTCTTCCTCCTCCCCTCCTCAGTCCTCCTCCTACGCTTCCTCCTCGTCCTCAGTCCTCCTCATCAGTCCTCAACAGTTCTCCTCCTCCCCAGTCCTCCTCCTCCTCCTAGGGCCTTTTCCTGGGTCCTCCTCCTGGGTCCTCCTCCTCCTGGGTCCTCCTTCTCCTCCTCAGTCCTTCTCCTCCTCCTCCTCAGTCCTTCTCCTCCTCCTCCTCAGTCCTCTTCCTCCTCTTCCTCCTCCTCCTCCCTCTCAGTCATCCTCCTCAGTCCTCCTCCTGAGTCCTCCTCCTCCTCAGTCATCCTCCTCAGTTATCCTCCTCCTCCTCCTAGGTCCTCCTTCTGGGTCCTCCTCCTCCTCCTCCCCTGGGTCTTCCTGATCCTTCTCCTCCCTCTCAGTCATCCTTCTCCTCAGTCCTCCATCCTCCTCCAGTCCCCCTCCTCCTCCTCCTATTCAGTCCTCCTCCTCCTCCTCCTTCTCAGTCCTCCTCAGTCCTCCTCCTCCTCCTCCTCTTCCCTCTCAGTCATCCTCCTCAGCCATCCTCCTCAGTCCTCCTCAGTCCTCCTCCTCAGTCCTCCTCCTCCTCCTGGGTCCTCCTCCTCCTCTTCATCCTCCTCCTCTTCCTCCTCGGTCCTCAGTCCTCCTCCTCCTGGGTCCTCCTCCTCATCCTTCTCATCAGTCCTCCTCCTCCCCAGTCCTCTCCCAGTCCCCCTCCTTCTCCTCCTCCTATTCAGTCCTCCTCCTCCTCCTCAGTTCTCCTCAGTCCTCCTTCTCATTTCTCCTAAGTCTTCCTCCTGAGTCCTCCTCCTGAGTCCTCCTCCTCTTCCTTCTCTGTCCTCCTCCTCCTCCCTCTCAGTCATCCTCCTCAGTCATCCTCCTCAGCCATCCTCCTCAGTACTCATCAGTCCTTCTCCTTCTCAGTCATCGTCAGTCCTCCTCCTCCTCCTGGGTCCTCCTCCTCCTCCTCCTGGGTCCTCCTGGGTCTTCCTGATCCTCCCCAGTCCTCTTCCTCCTCCCCTCCTCAGTCCTCCTCCTACGCTTCCTCCTCGTCCTCAGTCCTCCTCATCAGTCCTCAACAGTTCTCCTCCTCCCCAGTCCTCCTCCTCCTCCTGGGGCCTTTTCCTGGGTCCTCCTCCTGGGTCCTCCTCCTCCTGGGTCCTCCTTCTCCTCCTCAGTCCTTCTCCTCCTCCTCCTCAGTCCTTCTCCTCCTCCTCCTCAGTCCTCTTCCTCCTCTTCCTCCTCCTCCTCCCTCTCAGTCATCCTCCTCAGCCATCCTCCTCAGCCATCCTCCTCAGTCCTCCTCCTTCTCAGTCCTCCTCAGTCCTCCTCCTGAGTCCTCCCCCTCCTCGGTCATCCTCCTCAGTTCTCCTCCTCCTCCTCCTAGGTCCTACTTCTGGGTCCTCCTCCTCCTCCTCCCCCTGGGTCTTCCTGATCCTTCTCCTCCCTCTCAGTCATCCTCCTCAGTCATCCTCCTCAGTCATCCTCCACAGCCATCCTCCTCAGCCATCCTCCTCCTCATCCTTCTCATCAGTCCTCCTCCCCAGTCCTCTCCCAGTCCCCCTCCTTCTCCTCCTCCTATTCAGTCCTCCTCCTCCTCCTCCTCAGTTCTCCTCAGTCCTCCTTCTCATTTCTCCTAAGTCCTCCTCCTGAGTCCTCCTCCTGAGTCCTCCTCCTCTTCCTTCTCTGTCCTCCTCCTCCTCCTCAGTCATCCTCCTCAGCCATCCTCCCCAGCCATCCTCCTCAGCCATCCTCCTCAGTACTCATCAGTCCTCCTCCTTCTCAGTCATCGTCAGTCCTCCTCCTCAGTCCTCCTCCTCCTCCTGGGTCCTCCTCCTCCTCCTCCTGGGTCCTCCTGGGTCTTCCTGATCCTCCCCAGTCCTCTTCCTCCTCCCCTCCTCAGTCCTCCTCCTACGCTTCCTCCTCGTCCTCAGTCCTCCTCATCAGTCCTCAACAGTTCTCCTCCTCCCCAGTCCTCCTCCTCCTCCTGGGGCCTTTTCCTGGGTCCTCCTCCTGGGTCCTCCTCCTCCTGGGTCCTCCTCCTCCTCCTCAGTCCTTTTCCTCCTCCTCCTCAGTCCTTCTCCTCCTCCTCCTCAGTCCTCTTCCTCCTCTTCCTCCTCCTCCTCCTCCCTCTCAGTCATCCTCCTCAGCCATCCTCCTCAGCCATCCTCCTCAGTCCTCCTCCTTCTCAGTCCTCCTCAGTCCTCCTCAGTCCTCCTCCTGAGTCCTCCTCCTCCTCGGTCATCCTCCTCAGTTCTCCTCCTCCTCCTCCTAGGTCCTCCTTCTGGGTCCTCCTCCTCCTCCTCCCCCTGGGTCTTCCTGATCCTTCTCCTCCCTCTCAGTCATCCTCCTCAGTCATCCTCCTCAGTCATCCTCCACAGCCATCCTCCTCAGCCATCCTTCTCAGTCATCCTCCTCAGTACTCTTCAGTACTCTTCAGTACTCTTCAGTCCTCAAAATGTTTGTCCGCTAATGTCAACCAATGTCCGCTAATGTCCACCAATGTCCATCCAAGTCCGCCAATGTCCGTCCGGGTCCGCCAATGTCCGTCCGAGTCCGCCAATGTCCGTCCGAGTCCGCCAATGTCCGTCCGTGTCCGCCAATGTCCCAAAAAACACGTCCGTTGTCTCATAGAATCCAAAAAGGACAGGACATAGGCGGACATAGACGGACATGACACCCCCCCCCTTTAGACGACATTTGGCATTAAAGAAATTTGTAGGACAGCAATAAACTGGGATTGAAAAGAATCAAGTACTCACGTAAATTTGGTAACTTCACAACAGCAATCTGTATTCTCCAATCAGAATATTTCACTGTGTTCCAAAACTGACAGGATGTTCCTCTTTGATTTTTATACAATCGAAATATTTTCTTCAAAACTTTCCTCAATTAATTTGTCTTAATTCCAAAAAAATATTTCGAAATTTAGGAGTAACTTCTCAAAAATTTCCTCTTTTTCCTCCCGTTTTTTCCTCCCAGGCTGCCTCGCAAGATGCCGTGTTTCCGGATGTGGGCCAACCTTAGAGTGAGACAATCACCATCGCTGGATTTATTTGTGTATTATATTGTTTGAATAATTTACTTTGAAAACAAAACAACATTTTAAAAAAATTTACAGAGCTGCGGTACAACTGAGCACTAAGTTTAGTTCATTCCCATTACAAAGATGCTTCATTCATTGTAGGATTTTAAGGTACTTCTGTACCACATTCAGCTTTGCCATGAAACTCCTCAAAATTGTTGTCATTTGATTTCTTTTTGAATTTACAGACTAGACTCAGCTTCAGGGTCATCAGAGTTGTCCACTTTATTCTGCGTTTGTTACCTGCTCAATGAAGTGTATTCTTGATCAGGATGTGTGAAGTATGTTCAAAAGATGAATGGAAATATAAATGCCCTAAATGTGTGATCAGATATTGCTCTCTTGACTGCTTTAAATCCCATGAGTGTAATCCACTTTTGCAGAAAACTCCGATTCAGCCACAAAAGAGAGGACCTAGGCCTCTTCAACTTGACTCTGATGACGAGACAGATTTGCTAACATCAGAACAGCTTCAATCTCTAAACTGTGATGCAATGACACAACTTCTTGGTAAATGGCCTACTGTTATGATAGTACCACAAACTTTACGAAATCTCTTTTGTATAAATATCTGGGATATTGACTTTAAATTACCGTTTCACAGAAACAGTAATACAAATATAATGGTTTACCCATTTATACACAAAATTTTCAACTTCACCATACTTGCATTCTTTATGATTAGTAATTTATCTCAGGGAATCCTCATCTCAGAAACATTTTAATGGACATAAACTCAGCCCGGGAACCAGAGATTGCCCTAGAACACTTCTATGATGAACCAATTGTTTCAGAGTTTATAAGCAAATGCCTTGAAACTTTTCCAGAGGAGGCATCAGGATAGCTAATTTATTTATAGCTCAAAGCCATGTTGCTTTTTAAAGATTTTTTATTTGTGACTGAATTCTAGTTTTTGAGCCAATTTACAATATTTTGCCCCCCCCCCCCCCCCCCCTCAATTTGGCTTACAACAAGATACCTCTTATTTTTTATTTATGAGTTGTTTCTGTCATGATAGTTTGATATATTCACCTAAAGTGAGTCTTATTTTTTGTAAAATTGCTGCTTTTAGGGATACAATATTAAATATGACCTGGTTTAAGACCTAATATCCTGTAACATATTACTTACAGGTCACAGTGTTTCAATTAATACTAACATAGTAATATTTACCAACAGATTATGACATGTCTGATCAACAAGTTGTAAAACTACCTCGCACAGTTAGAGTTTGGAACTTTGTCAACTCGGGTCGAGGACTTCTTTCATTTTGGGCTTTAAACTTTGTTGGTGCCATCAGCACAGTTATTTACTTAAAAGTGCGATACACTGGTCTGCGACGTAAAACTGTCAGAGAGAAGATCATTGCACGTCGTCTTGCTGTAATTAGTTAACTGACTGATATGAAGGTATTTTTGATCTTATTTAAAGAGTTACAGCCATACTACGCATAATGCTTCGAAGTTCCTTTAAATATCAAATTGAATTGTTTAACCAAAACTTCAATTGTAATGAATGGCATATAATTGAAATTTATGACTGATTTGAGTAATATCATACTATTGTACCTTATACCTTTTTATTTAAGTTTCCAGTCCTTACTTAAAATTGAAGTAAATTTCTGCGATGTTTGATTAAACACTGCTGAGTATAAGTTTTATCTTAAAAGTAGTGTTGTTGAACTTCAATTTATTATTAATACATATTATCAAAATTTACATTACACCTTCGCAATTTGTGCTTCAGATTAAGAAAGAAAAGAAACACCTGAGGTTGGTCAGCTTAGTTGATTCTTGATTTTTATTCCGTAGTCCTCATTAATAAATGTGATTGAATCTGTTCATTGTAAATGTAATGCGCATGGCACTCAGCCAGAATATAATATACATAATTGTACTCTTTCAGGTACACACCACCGCCACAGTTCAAACCAACACAGAAACCTTCTAACCTGGAAAATAAAGAGTTGTGGCTCGTTCAGATTCCACCTGGGGTTAGTCTTTGTTTTTGAGATTATTGATAGCAGGAGATCAGTATAAGTACCCTCGGGTTTTTGTTCTGGATATGTTCAATTTAAGCTGTGGTTATAATATGGCAAAAATGAAAAATTGTTACTTTCTCAATTGTTTCAACCTTATATTTGCCATGGAATCTGAATAACTTACCACAAAAGATTTATGATTATATTGTCAAATTATCATGACTTGAATGTGTTGGCACTTGGCAGAGTATCAATTTAGTATTAATTATAAAACTATTTTAGGTAAAAGCAGAGTCCCTCAATGGCACGAAGTTCAAGCTGAAAAACAATAAAGTGATATCTCTGAATGAGGTTAGAATGAGTGAACCAATTATATAATGCAGTTTGATAAATTGACAACGGACCCTGAATTTAAACTTAAAGAATCTTAATTGTCAGAAACATCTTGAAATTCTCTGAATTTTCTTGTATAGTAGGAGTACCTAGTTCTGTTATTGAGGTCACGTTGACGGTTAAAGTTTAGTTCCTAGCTACTAGTAACCAGAATGCCTACAGCAATAGCAGCAAATCTGGGGAAACTTGGTGGACATTGACTTTTTTCACACAATTTGAGTATGTTCACTTCAACATTATGTTGCAGCTCATTGTGGTTAATCTCAATGTTGGAGTGATGTTTTTCTGGTGCACAAAACACTACAGTACGGTTATGTTGAATAATTGTGGTTAATGGGTCATCTATGTGGCCACTATGGTGGTTAAAATACCAGTTTTAGGGTTAACCACCATTTTGAGATATGATATTATGAACTGAGTAGTCATTATATTGAGATTATATCATGGTGCAACTATCACAAAAGTTTTCAAACCTCATGGGGAGCATTTTGTGGTCCTAATGGTGGTTAAATTGAAGATGAACGGTGAGCTATAAATATTGCTCTGATTATAGATGTATAGTGGTGGTTGTTCATTTGTGCATGGATGATAATTTTTTATCACAAATGTGCAATTTAATAGTATGGTTGATTTGAGGTGGTTAATATTCGTAAAAAGTGCTAAAAAGATGGTTAAAATGTCAAAAGTTGTTGTTAACCACCAATCAAAACATTATTAATGATTTTAGTCAACATTTTATGGTCAACAAAGGACATTTGAAGGGTCTTGATAAAATTTATCAAGAAATGTTGTCATAAAAGTGGTTAAAAGGGCTATATTACTTGCTAGGCTGTTGAACAAGGCATCTATTAAAGTGAAAATTAACCACAATATGAACTTCAGATAATGGTTTGCTATCCAAATGAGTGTATATTTGTTTGCAAATCCATAATTGACCCCAAGTTCATGCATTATGATCAATGTGCAGCTATGGTGGTTAAAATGTCTCGAAAATACCCTATATTTGCACTAATTAACCATTTTTAGAGCACATATTAGCTTTGTAAAGCTATAGCTGGCCATGCTACATTATTTAGATATAACTACCTGCTCATTTATATGACCAGAAACATTGCTGAGTCCTATGTTGCGTCCATCATGGTTAATAAAGGTCTAAAATTGACCAAAATCAGTGTTTTTGGTCGTTTTAACCACCATACGGCCACACATTTTGTTGCATTATCTTTAAAATCACTTATTATCCTCCAGCTATCTCTCATAATCAAATATCAAAACAAAATAAGGCACAAAAAGTTCGGAGGTTGCTGAATAATGGTTAATTTGTGATGGCTTCTGTTGACCGAAAGTCCAAAATAAACATGTTTTAACCACATTATGGCCACATCTAAGGTTTTATGGTATTGGGACCATAGTCAAAAGTTTTGGGCACCTGAATGGTGACCTCTGCTTTTGAAATTATGGTGATATTTCAATGCTGTGCCATACCAGGTGGTTAAGTACGCGCTAGCGCGCGCGCACGCGTACAAACATGGTTTTTTTGATATACCACAGTTGGTGGTTAACTGTTCTACATCAAACCTTCACTAAAAGTATTGGGCACCATAGTGGTGACATAATATATAAAGAATTTAAGCCTAGACTAAATATGTTGGCCTACAGATGGTTAAGTACGCGCTAGCGCGCGCGCACGCGTACACTATAACATAAACAAATAAACCACTCCACAGACCACATTTATTAATTTTTTTTATTTCCTTCTTCAACTATGTGTCAATGAACCATTTTTGTTCAATAATGACCATCAATATTAACTGTAGTACTTATATCTTCACTGTAGTAAGGGTTTGGGTGTTAGAGGTATAAAAAATGTCCACTAACAAATCAGTCATTTTTCGACTACTTAACCACCTAACTCAGCACCAAAATGTTCTGAGATTTTTTTCGTTGCACTATCATGAAGCTATGACATTTTTGGACCTATATAAATAATCAGATTACTAAAATTCATAATCTTTGATTTTTAAGGGGGGGTTAAATGCTTCAAATTGGTGTATTTCAAAGTTTCCCCAGATTTGCTGCTATTGCTGCCTAGTTATAATATTTTCAGAACACAGAGATGTTTATACACAAGAAGAGCTCTGGTCACGTGGTGTCCGCTGACAAGTCAGTTCCACTGCAGGGACAGATCACTCTCCGACACAAGATTGAGATTCCCATTCTTAATAAACCTGTGGAAATGCCAGTCGCTGAACAGTTACCAACAGATCTGAAGTACAGGCTGTCCAGGCTACCTCAACCACAGATTAAAGAAGAGATTAGTTAAAACATGTTAGATTTACTAGAGGATACCCAGTGTGACCCCTGGTAATTTCGTTTCGAACAACTAAATTTATCATTCCAAAACCTGACCCTTTTAAGTAGATATAATATATTAATTCAACTAGATTAGGATTTGATGCTAACTTTGCCCTTTTAGATGAGGGTTTTTCATAAATTATTAATTTATTGGTTTTGTATCTTTACATCTTTATTAAAGATCCGTGCCCACCCCTATCTTTAAGATATATTTGTTGAAAAATTTGATAAGAAATGTGTCAAACAAATTTTTGTGTGCGATATGTTTTGAAAGTGATGATAACATATTAATGTATATGTTATAACTACATAATATTACATTGTGACTGAATAAATTACCAATTAATTAACCAATTACCAATTAATTTTTACTAATTACCAATCATATAACTAATTACCAATTAATTAACTAATTACTAATTAATTAACTACATTAGGTGGGTATGGACACCCTACTCCAGGAATCCTTCCCAGAGTTGGACCCCTGTATTCAGGAGTACCTCCTGGGCATGCTTGATGATGACACTACAGTAGAGGATTTAACATCGTAAGTGATCCAGGTAACTTGCCTGTTATAGGTCGTAGCCTGAATACTGGTGCTCGGATAGCTCGAATCACGTGACACTTAAACAGTCAGACCTTATAAGGCATGGTTGTTATCACGTGACCACGGCAACCCGACTGCTATCTTTTAGCTGAACTGCCTATAACAAACGTTCTAAAGCTTATTAGACTCCTTCAGTTTAAACAGCTCTGAAGACTTATTTGGCAAACAAATTCATTGTATCTAGCATGGTAAGGATACCCCCTCACTCTCCGTAATCATTTTTACACATAGTTATTGTGTCAAAATTACACTAGCGTGATCATTTGGAAACCCCCCTCCCCCTCAGCCTCGACTGATTACGTAATATGTGAACGACCCCTCGAAAGATATGATTGAACACGTTTTCTGTTTTAGTTTTTAAGTTTATTGCCATTAAATAGGGTTTTACCGATCTTATCTTCTTTGTAGACTTATCAGATCTTTAGAATGTTCATAATTAACTACTTCAGATTTGTGTAAAGTTTGATAATAAGGATACTAACTCTTCTAGTAGTATTAGTTTTCTATCTAGATTTTAACTCCCTAACTCCCCAACCCTTCTGCAGATCAGATGACCTGTTCGACCTGATTGGGCCGTTTATTTTGAACGGTTGTTCAGATGTGAAAGAGGGAAAAGTAATGAAGCTGTGTGCGGCAATGTATGACACCCTCAACATACCCACCTCCAACAGTCAGCAGACCATTCTCAGCGCTCCAATTCAGATTTCTAACATGACCATCGCCGACACCAGCCGTTAGTCTGAAATATCATGTATTATTTCTGATGTTTATGGTATTTCTGATGTTTTTTTTTCAAGTCAAATATCGATTTCGGGTCGAATGTTTAAATAATTTGATACATTTTTTATTTGGAATTTCTACAGAGCTGAGCGGGAACATCTGGAAGGCCACAAAAGGAGAAAACTCAACAATTGTGAACAAACAGAAACTGGAGAAGGCAGAAGCTAAGCAGCGGGAGAAAGCGGAGAAGAAACTGTTTAATGAAGCAAACAAGAAACCACCTCCTAAAGCTGTGCACAACGACTCAGGAACAGTTAGTTAATATTGCCTGCTCTATTGGGGTATATTTTAATGAGTCAATAACGTATAAGTGCAAAAAAACACAATTTGTATTGATCATATCAGAAAATTTAATATGAAATGAAAGGTTTCTTATTTTTGTAAGCCATAATGTGTACTAATAATGTTGTTTACAGGTGCAGCAGGCAGTAAACAAGAAGGACCAGTATCTGACGGCTAAAAGTGATATCCACATTAACAACTTTGATCTCATGTATGGAGAGAAGAAACTGCTCATGGATGCCAGTCTTACAATCAATTACGGACACAGGTATGTCACTCAGTTTTGAAGCTACATAGGTCTTATCTAGGTCACTAGTCTTTTATCTAGGTCACTAGTCTTATCTGTGTCTTATCTTAATCTAGCATTAGCTTTTTTATTTATTTTTTTAACATCTTTCTATCCTGAAAAGGCTGAACTATATTTTGACAATTCCTAGTATTTTGGGACACCCTCTTGAGTCTTGATGATGTGCACTGATTTAAAGTAACCTAAAATAACCTAAAATAAGTAACTAACAGAATCATGGCAGGTACGGTTTGGTTGGAAGGAACGGTTACGGAAAGTCTACACTGATGAACGCAATAGCAAAGAGAGAACTGGCAGTACCTCCTGCTGTTTCTTTGTTACATGTAGCTCAGGAAGTGGAGGGTAAGTACTTTCTTATCAGTGATATATTCAGTAATATATTCATTATATATCTTAATATTTAATGGAAACAGTCTTCTAATCCAAAAAAATATTTAAAATTTTCCAAAGCTAGGAGGGATTTTAAAAATCTCGTTGATGCAAAATTGGACGCAAACTTTGAAGATGATGATAACAGAAATCTCATTAACAAAAAGTTCTGGTCTTTTGTGAAATCTAAATCAAACTCAAATCGCATTCCTGAAACAGTCAGCTACAATGGTTGCCTACGGTCCGATCCGCAAGGACAGTGTGAGTTATTCAATAAATATTTTAACGAACAGTTTACAGAGGGTAGTGATTATGATATAGATATCGACTTTTCCAGTGACCGTGATTTTCAGGTCAATTTCGACACTTGTAAAATCAAAGGTTTACTTGAAAATATTGATCCAAGTAAAGCGCAAGGGGCCGACAATATCCATGGAAGAATTTTAAAGTACTGCTCAGTGAGCCTGTCTAAGCCTCTTGCTATCCTTTTTGAAGCCTCTTATAAAACTGGATGTATTCCAGCAGATTGGAAAATGGCAAACGTTGTACCAGTTCATAAAAAAGGCTCTAAAATTGAAGTTAACAACTATAGGCCAATTTCTCTGACAAGCATTATTATGAAAGTTTACGAAAAAGTAATCCGGGATGAATTGCTCAATCGATGTGAACATCTTATTGATCAACGTCAACATGGTTTTATGAGTAGGAAATCATGTACAACTCAGCTAGTAAATTTCTGTGACAGCTTAGCCCTATCTCTCAATGACAATGTTCGCACTGACATAATATACTTTGATTTCCAAAAAGCTTTTGATTCTGTCAACCACGACATAATTCTGTTGAAGCTCAAAGAACAATATAACATTGATGCATCTCTACTGAGATTCTTCAAGTGCTACCTTGAAAACAGATACCAAAGGGTTGTCATTGGAAATAAAATGTCTGCTCCCTGTCAGGTTAGATCAGGTGTCCCCCAGGGCTCAATTTTAGGGCCTACTTTATTTATACTTTTTCTTAATGACATTACAGAGGATTTGTCACCGGAAACAAATATAACCATGTATGCTGATGATACTAAAATATGGCGTAGAATCACGTCCCAGGATGACCATTGGCTGCTCCAGCGGGATATTAACAGTCTTCAAAATTGGGCTCATCATAATAAGATGGTGTTTCACCCTTCAAAAAGTCACGTTCTTTCTATTACCCGAGCATATTCTATGAATCGTAGTGTTAATTTTGTGTACTCAATGAATGAAACGGCTATCGAATACACAGATATTGAAAAAGATCTTGGAGTGCATATCAATAGTAAGTTAGATTGGTCACATCACTGTGATATGATATACTCTAAGGCTAGTCAGAGGTTAGGCCTTCTAAAAAGAACATGTTACTTCACCAAGAACACTAAAAAACGTCGGGCCTTCTATCTATCTCAGGTTAGAAGTCATTTCGAACACTGCACAATTGTCTGGCGGCCTCATTCAGAAACCTCGGTGGAGAAACTTGAATCGATACAAAAAAGAGGTATCAAGTGGATCCTTAATGATATTTACTTGAGCCTTAGGGACAAAAAAAGGTATTTCATAGCGTGTAAGGAACTAAATATCCTTCCACTCTCGGTGAGGTTTGATTACAAGGATATATTATATTTTCATAATATTTTTTATGACATGTCAGTTGTGACATTTCCACCTTACTTACGACGTTTCATGGGAAGTAGGTTAAGGCGATCACATCTAGACGATCTCAGTATGATTAGTGACATTTCTCCTCAAGTTCCACAAAACCTTACGTCAAGCCAGACCAGATGTTCAGGCATTTCTAAGTCTTACTTTTACAGAGCACACATTCTTTGGAATAAACTCCCTTATGAATTAAGGGAAATCTCAAGGCCATCCGTGTTTAAAACCCATTTAATTAAGTACCTCTGGACAGTTCTAAACGACCATATAACATCCTCTGACAGTTAAACAATTTACCTTAATGTAACTATATTGTCTAAATATAAATTGATAAAAAGTATAATTAATAAAATATGTTAAATAAAGTGTGTGTGTTTATAATTATGATTTATGGTACATTGTTATTTATTATATTTATATTTTAGGCTGTAACCTTATTAGTTCAATGGAATAAACCTAGCATGCCTTGGTTGCAGCATCGCTTCACTTATAGGTGCATTTAGGGCCCGATGTAATTGCTATGATCAGTTTACTGGTCAACTGGTGTTTCGGTGTCCCTTATTTTGTTTACACTCGGTCACTTGTCAAGGCATGTAAGGTCATTCGGCGATATTTTCTTTGAAATAAAATGATGTATTTGTGTAACAATTTGAAAGTTTATTGATAAAAAAAAAAAACCTAAAGTAAGTAATATCAAGTGTAGTTTTAATTTTAAACTTGACATTTTCCGCTGAGATTGTGACATTTCTACCCGGCCTGAAGTGTCAGATTGTTAATTATTAATTAAATTTTATAATTAAATTTTATAATTAAATTGTATAATTAAATTGTATAATTAAATTGTATAATTAAATTATATAATTAAATTGTATAATTAAATTGTATAATTAAATTGTATAATTAAATTGTATAATTAAATTGTATAATTAAATTGTATAATTAAATTGTATAATTAAATTGTATAATCAAATTGTATAATTAAATTGTATAATTAAATTGTATAATTAAAGAATTAAATTGTATAATTAAATTGTATAAATTTTAAATTGTATAATTAAATTGTATAATTAAGTTGTATA